GCACAAACCAAAACAACGCAGCAAATAGAACAAGCGCGAGTGATACATCGTCAAATAAAAAAAGTAAAACTGATAAGCCCAAATAAAACAGTCCGAAAATGCAAAAGCAAAAGAAAAGGAAAAAAAATAAAAGGAAAAGAACTACCAAACGCTCACTGCTTTGGAGGAGGTGGTGGTGGTCCTGGATGATAGTAGTATGGCGAGTACGGGTATCCAGGTGGAAGAGGGATCAGGGGGGCGTCGCTGTCGGCTGCATACCTCGCATCATAGCGGCGATGAAACTCCGTGGCGTACTGTGCCATCTGATGCTGCTGCTCACGGAACTGTCTCTGAGCGTCGAATTCTGTCCGTATCAGATCTCCAAAGGACTGGAGCTCAGCATGTCAATCTGGACAGAGTAGTCGGGAAATGAGTGAGAGCTCGGATCCGGTGGTGGTGAGGGAGGCATGTCGAAAGAGAAGTCCTCTGAAGGAAGAGGGTAGGACTGAGGACCCCGAGAGGAGGAGGGCTGGCCAGCATCTGGCATGACAGCGTCGTCATCGGGGACATCGTCAAAGGGGGCTCGGAAGAGGAGACCGGCTGGAGTGATCGGTGGTAGATGAGGACAAGGCAGGCGTACGCGCTGGCGGTTACCTTGATGGTCCAGATAGTTCCATTGCCAGTGTACCGGTCGCTCGGAGAGGTGAAATTTCTGGACCAACGCAGCAATACCCAGGAGGGTGTGGCCCGGGATCACATCGTCGGAATAGAGTCCGACATTAATGCCTACGCGACGAGCAATCATGGTGATGATGCCGCCGACGCAAGTCTTGACGTCGGTCGGATTCCCTGGTTGAGCGAAAATCTCGAGATGCATCGCCATACGGGAAGCAAGGCATACTTCCTCCATTCCCCAGGTGTCACCGTCGAAGGCGTCGCTCAAAGCCCAGCGGAGAAAACCAAGTTCCGAATGATTCATCGTACCGCCGGCAGCTCGGGCGAGGAGGCAGCTGGTAAGGAATTGGTGAAAATACCGGGCTACTGGGTGGCGGATCCAAGTTGCCTTCGCGGTACGACTCTCGTACGATCGAGCGGCGATAGCCTGCCAAAATGCTTCCTGACGCTGAGGTAGGAAAAGAGAGAGCTTCGAAGATGTACCTGGTGTGATGCCGAGGATATCGGCGAACTGACGCATTGAGAGGCGGTACTCGGTATTCCACATCCGAAATTCCATGTAGGCATTCGCTGTATTGCCATCGCTCGAAAAGTAGCACTGGATGGTAGAGAAGAATTCCAAGGTCAAGGTCTTGAAACTCTTCTCATGTACTGTCAGAAAGCTCGACCACCCGAGCCTATCGAAGATGCGAACCAACTCGTCGTGTATTCCGATGCGATCGAGATCGTCACCGAAAAACTTGGTCGGTTGTAGGCCTTGTTGTTCGAGTTTGAAGTAGACGGTCTTGGAGGTGTTGTCCCGGTGATGGATCCGAAGAACCCCCGGTTTAGGTCGGATTGGCGTGAGGTCGATAAGCTCCATGATAGCGCCTCGGCGAGAGGCCCAAGGTTCATTGTCCCGGAGTCTACGGCTGTACCGACGCTTTGGACCTCTTTCGGGGCGGCCTTCGATCCGGCTTCGCTCAGCCATAGTCGGAGTGAGGGCGGAAGAGATGGGGATACGGCGGCGAGGGAGAGCTAGGCGGCGGCGAGGGGAGAGTGAGGCGGCGGCGAGGGAGAGTGAGGCGGCGGCGGCGGGAGTGAGAGGTGGCGAGGGAAGAGTGAGGTGGTGGCGAGGGAGAGCGAGGCGGCGGAAAGGGGAGAGCGAGGCGGTTGGGGGAGAGTGAACACGGCCGAGTCCTGCAAAAACAGAATAAAAAGGCCGAAAAATTGACAATACGGTCTGTGTCGATCCGTCGAATCAGTTGAACACGGCCCTGTTGAAGTAGAGCACGGGCCGTGCAAATTCTCTGTCAAAAGTTTGCAAAAGCGAACACGGCCGTGTTGAAGTAGGACACGGGCCGTGCAAATTTTCTGTCAAAAATTCGCAAAAACGAACACGGCCGTGTTCAAATCAACACGGGTCGTGCAGAATTTCTGTCAAAAATTCGCAAAAACGAACACGGCCGTGTTCAAATCAACACGGGCCGTGCAGAATTTCTATCAAAAATTCGCAAAAACGAACACGGTCGTGTTCAAATCAACACGGGCCGTGAAGAATTTCTGTCAAAATCGAAAAATCGTGAACACGGCCGAGTTACAGGCAACACGGGCCGTGCTGAATTCCGGCCAAAAAGAAACATGAATAGTCCGGTGATCCGTGAGACCTGAAATAACCAGAAATGACCACGAGAGAAGATATAGCAATGAGCGGGTAGAGAGAATAAATAGAAAAGAAAGAGAATAATAAAACGGAACTAATATATAGTAAGGATACGGGGTCGGATTGCCTCCCGACAAGCGCTTGTTTTAGGTCGTTAGCTGGACCTGGCAAGGGTTCATTGCTCCGCGGGATCAGAGAGGGCGATGGCTACTCTCGCGTCCGATGGAAAAGCAGGGTAGTAGAGCTTCAGACGTTGAGCGTTAGTTTTGAATGAGCTTCCGGAATGATCCCATAGTTCGATGGCACCGCTTGGTGATATAGATTTGATCTTGAATGGGCCAGACCACCTGGCAAGGGTTCATTTACCTGGAAGTGACGCTGGAGGACGCTGGAGGATGTGCTTGTCGTGCCATTTCTTCGTCTGTTCTTTGTAGATTTTAGCGTTTTCATATGCATCAAGACGTATTTCCTCAAGATGATGGAGCGAGAGAACCCGTTTCTCGGCCGCTGATTTGATGTCATAGTTCAACTGCTTAATGGCCCAGTAAGCTTTGTGCTCTAATTCTACGGGGAGATGACATGCCTTGCCGTAGATGAGTTGGAACGGTGTCATCCCGATGGGGGTTTTGAATGACGTGCGATAAGCCCAGACGGCGTCATCGAGTTTGAGAGCCCAATCTTTTCAGGATTTGGATACCGTCTTCTCGAGTATGGACTTGATCTCGCGATTTGAAACTTCCACCATCCCACTGGTCTGAGGGTGATAAGGCGTTGTAATCTTGTGTTTGACACCGTATTTGAGCAGGAGGGCTTTGATCGTGCGGTTGATGAAGTGCGATCCCCCATCGCTGATGATGACACGGGGAACACCGAATCGTGGGAAGATCGTGCGTTTAAGCATGCGCACCACGGTTTTGTTGTCATTCGTGGGACTTGCCAGGACTTCCACCCATTTGGTCACGTAGTCAACTGCAACCATAATGTACACATTTCCACAAGAAGAGGGGAAAGGCCCCATAAAATCTATGCCCTAGACATCGAATGGTTCTACCTCAAGAATATATTGTTGGGGCATTTCATGATGACGGGATATATTACCCATACGCTGGCAAGCGTCACATGAAGAGACAAACCTGTGCACATCTTTGAAGAGCGTGGGCCAATGGAAACCAGCCTGAAGAATTTCTGTCGCGGTTTTTGATGTTGCGAAGTGACCTGCGTAGTCAGAAGAATGACAATGGGAAATAACACTGAAGATCTCACCTTCAGGGATGCAGCGGCGGAATAGACCGTCGGTACCTCTCTTGAAAGAAGTAGTCCTTGACGTCGTGGAGAAATTTCTTCCTGGCATTGTAACTCAGATCTGGTGGAAGGATTTCACTTACCAGGTAATTGACGTAATCAGCATACCACGGAGCGTCTGGAAGAGTAGAGATGGAAAAAACATGCTCATCCCGAAGATTTTCATCAATGGGAAGTTGCTCTGGGAGTTCAAGGCGGGACAAATGATCGACGACTCCATTCTTGGCTCCTTTCTTGTCTCGGATCTAAGGTCGAACTCTTGCAGAAGTAGTATCCAACGGATGAGGCGTGGTTTAGCGTCCTTCTTGGAGAGCAAATATCGCAGAGCGGCGTAATCGGTGTAGACTATGACTTTGGAACCGACAAGGTAGGACCTGAATTTTTCGAAAGCAAAGACAACGGCAAGCATCGGTGGTTGAATGATGGGCGGGGAAATCAGCGCCTTTTTGAGCGTCTCAAAAGCTGCAAGGCAATCATTAGTGAAAACGAAAGGGACATCCTTACAGAGGAGATCGGTAAGAGGTTTGGTGATTTTGGAGAAATCCTTGATGAAACGACGATAGAAACCGGTATGACCAAGGAAACTGCGGATGGCCTTAACATTGTGCGGGGGCGGTAATTTCTTGATTACTTCGATTTTAGCCCTGTCAACCTCGATGCCTTTGTCGGAGATTTTGTGTCCGAGAACGATGCCTTCTTGGACCATGAAATGGCACTTCTCCCAATTGAGCACTAGATTGGCCTGTAAACATTGATCCAAAACTTTACGAAGATTAGTCAAACAAACATCGAAGGAAGGTCCGTGGACAAAAAAATCGTCCATGAATACTTCCATCAAATCTTCAATAATGTCAGAGAAGATCGCCATCATGCATCGTTGAAAAGTAGCGGGGGCGTTGCAGAGCCCAAATGGCATGCGCCGATAGGCGAAGGTCCCGTAAGGGCAGGTGAAAGTTGTCTTCTCCTGATCATTGGGGTGAATAGGGATTTGAAAGAATCCTGAGTATCCGTCAAGAAAACAAAAATAGGAATGAAGAGCAAGACGTTCAAGCATTTGATCAATGAATGGTAAAGGCAAGTGATCTTTGCGAGTGTTCGCATTTAACTTCCTGTAATCGATGCACATACGCCAGCCCGTCACTGTTCTTGTCGGGATCAGCTCATTTTTGTCGTTTTTGATCACCGTCATACCGCCTTTCTTTGGGACGACTTGAACCGGACTTACCCAAGGGCTGTCAGATATAAGGTAAATGATACCTGCATCCAAAAGTTTTAGTACCTCTTTCTTGACGACTTCTTTCATCGATGGATTAAGTCTATGTTGATGTTCGATGGATGATTTGGAATCGTCCTCCAGATGAATTCGATGCATGCACAGTGAAGGGTTGAGACCTTCTGGAGTTTATCCGATAGCTTTCCGGTAGTCTCGCAATATGGTGAGGAGACGCTCGAGCTGTAGATCATCCAAGGCAGCATTGACGATAACAGGATAAGTGGAATCGAGACCGAGAAATGCATACCTGAGTCCAATGGGCAAGGGTTTTAGTTAAAGTTTCGGAGCTATTGCAAGGTCCCAGTCAGGTAGATGATGCATTGGGGTTGATTTGGCGGCGAAGACGGGCAATGGTTCGAACAAAGGAACAGACTGGAGATGAATCCGAGACTCGACACGGTCTGAGTTCACACTCGACACGCCCGTGTCGAGTTGCGCACGGGCTGGTCCAGAATGATGCACGGGCGTGTCTTGTTTCGCAAAATTTCTCAGACATTTGACATGGTCCGTGTCGAATGACGACACGGCCGTGTTGCATGAAACACGGACTGAGCTTGTGGCAAACACGGGCGTGTCTCGTTCGATGTTTTGCAGCAGAATATCGACACGGTCCATGTCGAATGACGACACGACCGTGTTGCATGGCATTTCGTCTAAACCGTCCAAGAATGATGTGTATTCGTGAATTTGAGGCTCCGTAGAGATACTGCAGCCCTGTTCAGAAAGAAGAGCAATAGAGAGGGCATCGAAATCACGAAATTCAAAGAGTACCTCATCGGCTAAAGCATCCATCAAGTCGATGTAACATATAGAGTCCACTGTAGATGGTTGCTTGAAATTCTGGTCGAGCGTGAATTCCACCGTTTCGTCGCCGATCTTGACGTCAGTCGGCCGACGCGAACGTGGACAATGGCATCTGCAGTGTTTAAGAATGGTCGCCCTAGAATAATCGAGATTTTGGCGTCTTCGTCCATGTCAAGCACAACAAAATCGACCGGTACGTAGTAATCGCCTACTTTCAGCGGAACGTCCTCGAGAATACCCAGAGGGTATTTGATAGAACGATCAGCTAGTTGAAGAGCCATGCGAGTCGGTTTGAGTTCTCCAACGTTGAGTTTCTTGTAGATGGAGAGTGGTAGGAGACTTACACTGGCACCTAAATCACAAAGAGCACGATCTATAGAAATATTTCCCAATTTGCAGGGAATCGAGAAGCTACCTGGATCCGACATTTTCGGTGGCAGATCGTGTTGAAGAATGGCGCTGCACTCGGGATTAAGCGTGATGGTTTCCTTCTCGATGACGCGCTTCTTTGTGAGAATGTCCTTCAGGAAGTGTGCATAGGATGGCATCTGAGTGATAACCTCGTGGAACGGCATAGTGATTTCCAACTTACGCACCATGTCAGCAAATCTAGCAAATTGGTTGTCCTCTTTAGTTTTCATGAGTCGTTGAGGGAAAGGAACTGCAGGCGGACGTGGTGGCGGTGGAATGTATACGTCGCGTTCTTCATCACCCGAGATCTCTGTCGATTTTTCAACAACTATGGGGTCATGAAGAGGTATAGGGACGGAGTTAGAGCACTGACCTTTTTCCGTAGATGTGATGGCAGGGTTAGCGAGCTCTTTGCCACTGCGCAAGGATATGGCGTTACAGTGCTCTCGGGGGTTTGCTTCCGGGTTCCCAGGTAGTGATCCCTGAGGTCGCGAAGGGACAGAGGCAGCAAGTTGCGCTATCTGGTTATCGACTAGCTTGAGATGGGCGTCGGTCTTCTGCTAATGTTCTCGCATCTCGGTGCGAATGGCTTTTTGACCCTGCATAAGTTGTGCAAGCATAGATTTGATGTCAGAGTCAGGACTTACCTGTGATTGAGATGGAGTCAGGCCGAAGTTTTGCTGAGGCTGACGGGGAGCTCGGTAGTGTTGAGGGGCTGGATTCTGATGCTGATAGGCATTTCGGGGTTGAGATTGATTTCCTTGAGAGGAACCCGGGATAGATGAACCACCGAAATTGTTGTGCTGTGCATTTAGAGCGTTGGAGGAGTTCTTGTATAAGAAGTTTGGGTGATTCCTCCAACCTGGGTTGTATGTGTTTGAGTACGGATTGTTGGCGACGTAGCTGACATCCTCATGCACGTACTCGTCTCGTGGTGCGTCCAGATCAGTGATTTGATGG